TGCCCAATACTATGGCTTGTCCACCAAGGCCATAGCTCTCAACTAAGGCGTCATTCGAGTTAGTAGACCACACTACTATATTTAGTAGTTGATATACACCTGATTAAGCTAGGTTCAAAACCCCAAAAAATTAATGTTAAAGATGTCATGGCATAGTGATAGCTTGCCACTTAGAGATACTAGTCCATGGAGAAGTTGTGGCATCAAGATAGCTCACCACTTGGAGAACAGATCAACCTCTCCTATCCTAGAAAATGACGAGGAATGTTTTTTGTTAGATGAAGATATTGTGGTGTTGGTGTTGGTGTTGCTATTGCTCGCCACTTGGAGATTGGTTGACCCTACCTACCTAGGATAGTGGGAATGTTTTTTGCTATATGGAGATAGGGTGGTGCCGCTATAGCTTGCCACTCAAAGCTTCATATACCAAGTTGTAACCAATTTGCGGGGATATCATGGGGTTGTGCTGGCTCGCCACTTACATATCCATAGATCAATGTTGGTTATGATGTGGTGCCATGGTGGATTGTTGCTTGAGGTTAATGTTAGTGGTGCCGTGTTACAGTGACTTGCCACTTAATTTCGTTGGTGTCTTTGTGCCTTTGTAGCTAATTAATTGGTCATGTTATGAGTTCATAATAACGTCTTTGTAGCGTACAAATGACCATACTTGCACCTTGAAAAATTTGCCATTAGAGATAGAGCGAATGTTACGCGACCTTAGCATTCCTCACATAAAATAAGTGATTAGTACAAGGGTGGGACCTGGTTGAAAATAGCAAGTTGTGTTGCAAGGCATAGAATATCATCCTGCTACTGTGGCTTCCACTGTGTATCTTGAGGGAGTGAGAGAAAAGAAAGCCAACATAATATATATGAGCCATCCGCATGAGCCTTGTACAGTTGGTATACATGAGCCTCATACCGGTCGAACAACAATGGAAAGAAATTGAATCTCTTCACCAAATTAGGGATAATGTGAGCTAGTAGTATCCTTTTCCAACACAACCAATAGGTCATCAACACATGAAGTGGCTTGGCCAAAAGACGCAAGTAGCATAGGCTTGTGGTGAGAGTTTTACACACAATAAAGTCTTAACACAGGTTCAGAAATTTAGGGGTTGAGCCACCACCAAGAAAGGTGAGTCGAGATGAGCTCAAGCTAATGGATATAGAACAGAGACTCAGTATGTGCAGAGAGAAATTGTAGATGGTGAGTGGAGGACCCGAAATGGAAAATCTAAACGAGCCCATATATATATACAATCGATGGGTCATGTATTGGCAATTGACTCTCCCTAAATGGTGCACGATTGCTCTTTTGAGACGGAGACTTTGCTTTCCTTGCATCTTAGGTGATGGGGTTGCTTGTTTTACTACTTGTTTTACAATTGGCTGCTATCGGCCTTTGCGGTTGCAATTGACCTCGTGATTGGACTTTGCATCTTCAAACCTTTCTTTAGTTGGCATCTAGTGATTGGGCACCATGTGCGATTGGCAATTGTTGCTTGATGATTCATGTTTTGATTTGATTATTTGACCTAATTTGATTGGTTAACCTGAATAGGTCTTCAATGGAGGACCTCTAATACTAGATGCATTTATCACACCACTTTTAGATGAGGATCATCTTTTCAAGGAGGCCATCCAAGCAAGAACTCGGTTCTTTTCTTAGGAGAAGCAGGGCCCAAAGCAATCAAGGGGAACCTAGCAAGGTTAGGCCCCACTTTGGCACCAATTATTATCACAAAAATATGGCTTGGTAGGTTGAGGCTACTAAAAATCTCACATAGCTCGTAGCACACTGATCTAAATGAGGCGGTTGGCTAAGTGGGCAAGTTCCAAAAACTGATGTTGCAATGTTCACCCCTCTTTTCTTTTGAAAACTCATGATTGTGCATCAAACATGCAAGTGTAGGAAGCTAATCATACAAAGTCAAACGCAATGATGCTACCTAGCAATTGCACTCGACTCATCTCAAATTAGATCGTGAAAACAAATTGGGATGTAATTAGATCATATAAGGTTGATTGAGTTGGCAGATTGAAAAAGATCACGAAGGCAAACCACGCAGGCGATGTGCTGCGATTGGTTGGAGCTTAGTTGAGTGTGAAAACCAACTATTGGGCCTTTGATATCAAATGATGAAGTTTGCAGGTACATAGCTAATTTGGGATTATAGGTTATTTTTTTTGAATCTTGATTGGTGTCACAGGTCAATTTTTGAACTCAAATTTCGCCTATGATGGCACTAAGTTTTAGCACACTTAGTCAGCCAATTAACCAACACTCCCACACAATATGAGGTTTAAGACAAGTAAGATAGAATGCACAACACAACCACGTTCACAGGTAAACGACCAACCTTTTTATTACACCAACAATAATACAAAGGATAACCTATGGCACTCTACTTGATGATTTTCAATTAAGCATGGCATGCCTATAAATAGGCTACAATAAGATCTCGAAATTCAAAGAGGCAACAACAATAAAGGAGAACATTTCACATGACATGGCAGTTGACACCCCCAACTGCCAAAGGGTTAAGACAAATCTGGAACAGGCCAGCAGTTGTAATTGTCATTAACTGACCCTTCAATTCAGCCTTGCTTGTCCCTTGCCAGCATGCCTTGGTCAGTTGTAACTGCCCATAACTGCCCTTATAATTCTGCTGCCTTGTCTGATGTGCCTTAGACAAATTCGAACTGCCTATGTGACCAGCCAAACAGAGCCCTGAGTGCCATCTGTTGGTCTTGGTCAAGCCCATGTCAAGCTATCTGATTGTGTCAAACCCCCAAGTGTGCTGCAGCCCACATTTAGGTCATATTAATGCCTTGCATTTGTCATGTTGCTCACACTTGGCCAAGGGTTTAGTGCTGCCGCCGAACGACACAACTCTTTGTCCCAGCTCGTCACATTGGCATGCCTCCCTCATGCCTTGGCCCAAGTCTGACATAGGTGCAAGGTGCCACCAAATGCCAGCCAACTAGCCCTCAAAACTCAAGGTGCTAACAAATTGGCCCCTTCATTGTCATTTTGTTTTGCCCTTGTCAAAGGCTGTGGGACTCGATAGGATGACTCTAGCCATTCTCGAGTAATTAGAGAGGATGTGCAGAGTTTTCTTTTCTTATTTTCATGATCATGGGAGGTTTGAGAAGAGCTTGCATGCGTCTTTCATGGCTTTGATTCCAAAGCAAAGGACATTAAATACTTTAGATCAGTTAGCTTAATTTGGCTAAGGTGTTAGTTGGGTGCTTTAAGGAGGTGATACCTTACCTTATTTCGGAGTTCAAAATGCTTTTTTTAGTGGTCATAAAGTCTTTAGATGTGCTTTGACCATTGAAGTGGTGGATTCTCGACTTTGAAGTGGGGTTCCTGGTTTGATTTTAAGCTTGACATTGAGACTTGACCATGTTGTGATAGATTCACAATAGAAAGAAGAAATAAAGCGGAAGAGAGAGAAGCGAACACTTGGCATGCTAATGATAGAAACCTGTTCAGAATTAGGGTTCTTCTCCTAGACACTCATATTTATAATATTAGGGTTGGTTTGAGAATATGCTATCTTAGTAATTTTTTTGCTTTTTGGCTAAAGTATGAGGTAAAAAAAAGAGTATGTTTAGGATAATTTTTTGGCTTTTTACGAAAAAACATACAAAAAGTAGAGAAAAAAGGGAATCTTTGACTTTTTTGTATAGTTTTTTGTCTCTTTAACTTTTTGACTTTTTGGCTATTATTGTAACTTCCCAAACTTGCCCTTAGTAAGATCTAAAGTACATAAATACCCCTTGGACTAAAATAAAACATAACATATACCACTCCCCCTTAAATTGGTGCAAAAATATCTTTTATGTCCAAGTTGCAAACAATGGGATAAAAAACCTTACTACTAGGACTTTCAGTGAATATATAAGCCAACTAGGCTTTTGACTTCACAAAAGGCATATAAATTAAACCTATAATTAACTTCTTGCATATGAAGTGTGTCAAATTCAATATGCTTGGTTCTATCATGTTGAATTGGATTATAAGCAATACTGATGATAACTTTGTTGTCGCCTAAGAAGCTCAAACACTTTTATAGAGGAGACATGTCTTGTTGGACATGACACTATGGACACCTAAAAGCGTGTCCGACAGTTCTTCATCGTGTCTTTATTAAAAATTTAAATTCATAATATCAGACACTTTAAGGACACTTCTTGAATTCTTTGAACATGGCCTGTGTGATGAGATTCATAGTAACAATATTTTGCATTCTTTGGTTTGGAATGTAATGTAGTGTAAAGATATTTTGAAACATTTATAAGATGAATATATGTATTACAATGTTCTACAATTGTTTTGCATTCTTTATAATGCAATTGTTACGTGAATTAGTTATGAAATATGTGGCTTCTTCTTTCTCTTTTTCCTCGGGTATGGGTTTCCCCTTGAGGTGCCCCACAAGTCGCTCTTCGACCTTTGGCATGCACCAGGTCATCCTTTTAAGCTATCTTTTGGTGAGGGCCTATAGGTTTTTGTATGCACCTCATGCATGGAGATTTTTGCCCCTTATGGTGGTTTTTTTGAGTTTATATCTTTTATTACTTAAAAAAAATTAAATTGTGACTCTAGATGGAGAGAGATGGGCAAAGGGAATTCCTGTAAATGTCAATCCCAAGAAAAAAAAAAAAAACATAATTCATGCAAATGGCCCAAGATGTCAATTCTGTGGGTTTTTTTTGAATTGATTGATTCAAGTGAATCTTTATAATATCCAAAAACTCTACTTGAGATGTGCTAAAAACAAAATCATTATTTCCTCAGCATCTTATTGTAGAACTAATAAGCAATATCTAGCTTCCTTCTCTCTTCCCATCATTGTTCAGAATGACTGACTTTCACTGATTAAATCTTGTTCTTTGCATGATTTTGTTCATACTTCTGAGTTTGATGATCATTGGGAAATGTTCTTATATTTGTCAACCTCAACTTTTTGCTCTTTGTGCTCTAGGCTGAAGCTGAGCTTATATCTTCTATTGTCACCTTTTTCAAGCGAATTGGGATCACAGCATCAGATGTTGGGTTTAAGATTTCAAGCCGGAAGGTACAAACTATCCCTTTTTCTTTTTGTATCAATTTAATATTCTAGTAACCAAAGGATCGCCGTCACCTTTTCTGCAATTCCCCTGTCACTTTCATATAATAGAAAAGACAGTTATGAATGAGTATATTTGAGAATGGGTAGGAGTAGTACTGATAGAAGATAAATTGAGAGAGAATAGATTAAAATGGTTTGGTCATATACAATGAGACCAATAGAGGCAGTAATGAAGAGTTACGATAGAGTGACAGTAGATGGTAGTGTTGGGGAAAATGGTAGATCTAAATTGACGTGGACTAGTGTAGTAAATAGAGATATGAATCTCCTTAATTTAACTAACGAAATGGCCTTGGATAGAGTCGAGTGGACAGGAAGGATTTATGTAGCTGACCCCATTTGATAGGACTTAAGGCTTGGTTTGGTTTGCTCAAATACCCTAAAATCTAGCAAGGGTATCTCCAAATAAATGGACAGAACTAAACTAATAAGCACCCTCATGATTTCCAGAGATATCACATAGAACAAATGACTAAATGAAACTCAATTCAACCACTGCCAACTAACAATCAAGTAGTTAGTTACATGTAATAAAGTTTGCAATCATGCCTATGTGATACCATATGGCAGCAGCAGCAGCAGGAGGGAAAGAAAGTACAGATGAAGAACGAAGTTGGAGACAAGAGAGAGATGCAGAGAATAGCATAGGAAGACATAGAAAGGAAGAAGTTGCAGGGAAGAAGTTCCTGTGGATGCAAACAGAGTTGAGAAGGAGATACCAGCACAGAGGAGAAAACAGCAACATAGAAGAAGAAATATATATAGAAAATTAGAAGAAACATAGAAATAAATGCAGAAAAGAAGAAGAAACAGAGGAGGAGATGCTGAGAAGAACCTGTAGAGATGCAACACAGAGGTAGAACTGCAAATCAGCGGCAACAGAAATGCAGAGCTGGAGAGTAGAGAAAGGGAGACAACCCTATTCCCCGTAGCAGTGCCACCACTCTAGAGCCATATGGGTGGTCTCTTAAGTGATCATGTGACTAGCATGTGAATATGGGGACAACCCCACATCATAAGTTAAAACATAAAATAAAATTATAAATTTACCCCAAACCAAATGAAATAAATAGCTAGATAAAAGCAACTAAATCCTGAATTCCATCACAGTGGCACCTATTTTTCTTCGATAAAGTACAACTATAGAGTTGATTATTGGCAGTTATGGGTCATAAATTTATAATACAATGAGAGTTTTTATTTTAATGGAACCAATAAGGTCTTATTTTATGAATATGCTATGTTAAGTTCGTTGTTTAATGGATTGATTGGGCCCAGTGTTACCATAAAACACTTACACCCTAGCGATTTATGTATTGCAATGCACGTTCTGAAATATAGTACACTTATGTTCTAAAATAGTGAATTTAGCGATTCAAAGCGATCCCATAAATTATTTTTATTTTTATGTTTTTCATAAAAATTCAAATATAATGAATTAAAATTGAGATGGAGTGAAGTTTTTGATTGACAAAAAGTAAAACAGTGGGTGATAATACTCATAGAACTGTGTTGTTGAATAATTAATTTGAAGAAAATAAACTATTAATATATTGGATTTCAAATTAAGAAGTCTACCCCTATCATGCCACATTCCCATTCCTATTCCTCGTACCAGAACGATCCGCATTCTAGGTAACATATATTGGGCTGATCACATTTCAATATTTAGGGTTGAAAAGAATGGTTTGAGATATGATTTCAGGTGTAAAAGTGCAATAAAATTAAAAGAAAGAAAAGAGAATGAGGAGATGAAAGCACTGGTGGTATCATATCTAAATCCCATCGATATCACACCTAAGGTTAGTGTTGCATCATACCATTTTAAATGAGCTTCAAACGCTTAATTTTTTTTGAACTGATCTCCATTGAATAGAAAGAATCATTTAGGTCTTTATTGACTTTAAATAAATCTTTACTCTTGTAGGACTTTGATTCCATCTTTGGAGGCGTATTGTGTTTGTCTAGGTACATGTCCATTGAAATATAAATTTACTGTGTAAGAAACTATACCTAAGACTAAAAGGTGATGTTGTTAGATGACCAATTGTCCCAAAAGCTTTAGTCACTAGCAAAGGGGCCCAACAATCTATATCAAGCTATTAAATACCTTCCGTCACTTGTAACCTTGTATTGCATGTGGAGATGTCAACATCCATACATAGAAAGAAGAAAGAATGCAAACAATAGAAGAAAGAATGCAAATGGGGATCAAATTCTTAGGCAAGGCAATCTGTTATTAGGAGTATTACTTGTAGCCTAATGGTTGGGATTTTCAGGTTCTTGTTAAGGGAACTTCTAGAGCTCAATAGAAATGCATTTCTCAAGGATATTCCCATTTTCTTTCGCTTGTTAATTTGGGTGATGGGGCAAATGCTCAATTTTGGGAAGATGTGGAAAGGGGAGGGGGAGGGGTAGTTTGATATTTTATTCCCTCATTATTGTTTATCAAAAAATCATGTTTCTATTTCGTTAATGGCTTCTTTTGTAGCTCTAATCTCGTGGAACTTCAATTTCTATAGGAATCTTAATGATCGTGAGTCTCACTAAGTAGCATCTTTGTTATCCATTCTTGATGATGTTTCTTTGAGAGCGAGGGATAGGAGGAGTTGGACGGTTCATTCTTTATGAGTGTTTTCTTGCAAGTTCCTTCCTTGATAATCTTATTTATAATCCAAATGTACGAATATTTGATAATTGCCAAATGTTTGAAATAGGGTAAATCACACCACTTGTTTCTATAGTTTAGATGAAATTTCACTTTAGTCTTTGTAGTTTTCATTTTATGAATTTTTACCTACACTTCCATTTTGGTTTAGTTAGTGTGTAAAATATGTGAAACTCGGGTTAGGCTAGAGAGAGAGAATGAGAGAATGCAGTTTTTGGTTTCTTAGTTAAACCCTCCAGCAACACCATATATTTATAGAGATAAAAGTGACAATACAATATGACCATAGTACCCTTAATATAAATAATCTAACACTCCTCCCTCAAACTGGAGCATAGAGGTTGAACATGCCCAGCTTGATAGAAAAGTGGTGAAAGGAAGTCTGAGCCAAGGGTTTTGTGAGGATATCTCCTAGCTGATCATCAGAACGAACATACAGAGTCACAAGCTGCTTTCGCAATAATAAATCCCAAATAAAATGGCAATCAACCTCAATATGTTTTGTGTGCTCATGAAACACTGGATTATTGGCAATGAAAATAGCTATCTAATTATCACAACATGTGCATAGGAGTAGGAACTAGAGTACTAGAATCCTGAGTGCATCATGAGAATCAACCGAGGAAGTAGACGGGCCAAGAGTGCTAGATGCCGACTGACAGGGTGGAGAATCCATAACCTGATGCATATGATCACGCTTACCATACTCCTGCCAGCACCAGGGTTCAATATGACCAGAAGAACCACAATGAGTACACTTGCGATTACCACGAGAAGTGGACCTACCACCATGAGAAACGCCGCCACGAGAGCCACCCCTATGTGGACCATGAAAAGAACCACCACGGGAATGAGAGTCGCGAGAACCAGTGTGTGAGCCATGATGACTAGATATGCCATGAAAAGCATATGATCACGGTCACTATTGTTATAAATCAAAGCAAAAGACGGGGTAGATGGAGAGGAGGAACCAGATATGCTATGACTCTGTCCCAAGATGAACGCAATAGATGAGAATAGGCATTAGCGGCGGAAGGTAAAGTTTCACTAGCCAAAATTTGATCCTTGTAACCCCACAAATTGGAATCTAAGCTTGAGACTAAGGATGCCATCATAAACTCTTCCCAATATTTCTTCTGTTGAGCCAAATCAGTAGTAAAGGGTCGATGTTGCAATAACTGATCCCACAAATTCTTAAGGCCACTGTAATAGTCAGAGAGGGACCGGTCAGACTGGCCAGTAGCAAAGATCTGCTTATATAATTCATAGACTCAAGAAACATTACTCTGATTGGAAAACGAGTCGGCAAGAGAATCCCAAATCTCCTAAGAGGTTTCACAAAATTTGACAGTAGTAGCAACATGGGGCTCCAAACCATGCTAAAGCCACCCCAAAACCCCGGAATCATCACTTGACCAATCATCGTAGGGCATCATTTGATTTGGAAGGGATCTCAGTAGGAAAGCGTATTTTTTTCTTGCCATGCAAGAAAACCTTGACAAAATGAGCCCAAGCCATTTAATTTCTTGGTAATAATAGATTTAGGAATCTTATCATCCCTAACCACTGGGGTTTTGCCTTAGCTATAAGAATCAACAACGGCGATATGAAGATAAGGCAACACAGATAAGCTCACAAGAACAATGTATCACATATGAGAATCAACAAGATTTAGCAATCCTAAACCAGAGCAACAATGTATCTCAAAGAAAAAAATAAAAATAAATAATAGAGAATATAGCAGCAGTGAGGGAGCCAAATACCAGGAACAAGAAGAACAGACAAAAAACTTCAACCCAACACCAACAAATCCACAAACAAATCTCAAAAACACTTTGCTATTGTCTAGTCAGCACCCATAAGACTAATTTCAACGAACAAAATCCTCAAAGAATCATCTAAAACCCAGATTGAAAAAAATGAGACCACAATTCGAAAAACATTCAAAATTCAAAAACTCAAATTAATGATGGTCAAAAAATTCCACAAAAATTACCATAAATCTTAGGAGGAGAAACCAAGCTTGGGGAGACCAACTTGTTTGTACGGATAATGACGTCAGCACGTCGTAGTCACCTCATGTCGATCTCTAGAGCTTGTTGAACACTTGCTAGGGCAGAATCGGACGCTTTGATACCAAGTTAGTGTAAAATATGTGAAACTATGGTTGGGCTAGAGAAAAAGAGAAGAGAGAATGAGAGAAGAAGAGAATACAATTTTGAGTTTCTTAATTAAACCCTCCACCAAAACCATATATTTATAGAGATAAAAAGTGACAATACAATATGACCATAGTACCCTTAACTTAACATAAACCAAAAATAAAATAACATATAACTAATCTAACAGGTTTAATGTAGTTACCTTGTTAAAATTTGTCACAAAATGTTAACGGAAACTGTCCACGCGTATAAGAGGGAAAATTTCCACGTGGACGTTTATGTTAACATTTTTACGGAATTTGACAGAAGGGTTACATTGAAATATAAATGGTAGTGTAGGATTTATATTTATGAAATTGAAAATTATGGGGATCAAAGTGAAATCATTGGTGTATTATGTTTAGATGATTTTTTCTCGTGACTATGGAATATGGACTAGGTAGCTCCTAGTGTTCAGATGATTTAGATTGATTTTAGGGGCTTGCGTTCTAGTACAAAGGCTGGGGCTTTATGGAACGCTTCAATTTGTGTAGTTCTTTAGGTGCTATGGTCGAAAAGAAATGCAAGGATATTTGAAGATAAGTTTTGATTAATTGGGAGAGTTATGAATAGGGTTTGTTACTAAATTTCATTTTGGGTTTGAGTGTCTCCCTAAGAAGCACAAATACTCCAAGATGGGTGATGTGCCCGTGTCCGACATGACGTGTTCACATGTCTATACCATGTGGCGTGTCAATTTTTTTTATTATTGTTTTTTTGCAAGACACGTTTGGGACATTTCATGGATGCATTTTTTGTGTGTAGACATGTCTCGAGACACTTTTGCGGGTTTTGTTTTAGAATTTTAAAAATTTGTTATGGGGTCAAAGTGAAACATAATGAAACAAAGAGGGGGACAAGTGAAAGGAAATACAATGACATAAATCGAGGCCTCTCATATCTCTCTATCCTAAATTTATAAACATTTATAGAAGAAACAAAAATATATAAAAACAAAATTTTCCTATCCTTGTAGTATCTATATCCGAATTTTTTTCAAAATCGTTGTCTCATGTCTGTGTTTGTGCTTCTTAGGTGTCTTCTCCTTTACGAATATTATTTTGTTCTTGATTTGTAGAGATTGGAGAGTAGTGTGTTATTAATAATCTCTTTTTTTAGTTTTTATTTTTATATTGGATCTTTGGTCCTCTCTTTATTGTAATATTTTTTCTTATTTAAGAATATTTTGTTTTGTTGCTGATAAAAAAAAAAAGAAGGAAAAATAAAGAAAAAAAGAAGCCACCTTCAATTGTAACAGTGATAAGTAAATGTTCAATATTGTATGATTACACCAATGATTCTCCTTACCTGCTTGCGCTAGTTTGTTTTTTTTTTTTTTTTTTTATCGGTGAACGTTAGTTGTTAGTTGTTAGATTAGCACCAATGGGAGTAAGCCTCCCCACCCTTCTAAAGCACCAAGTGCTTGCCTCCTAATTCAACTCCCCTTAGGGTGAGTTGAACCCATGACCTCCCCCTTGGGATTAAACCCTTAAGAGAGTCATGATGGCTAACTAGGCTAAGCCTAGTTGGTTACCTACTTGCGCTAGTTATGGATGAATTGACTAGACACATTTAGGATGATGTGCATTGGTTTACGATGTTGGCAGATGATATTGTCTTGATGGATGAAATTCAAAGAGCAATTAACACTAAATTATGATGAAGTGCCTTGGTATGATGTTGGCAGACGATATTGTCCTAAGGGATGAAATTAAAAGAGGAATTAACACTAGACTAGAAATTTGGATGTACTTGAGTAGAAAGAGTTTAAAATAAGTAGGATTAAATTGAGTACATAGAATTTGATTTTAGTAAACAACAAAAGTAGAAGGGAATAAAAAAGGAGAGAAGTAAATGATCAAAAACCAAGAAATACCCAAGAGTGAACAATTTTGTTATGTACATTCAATTATTAATAGTTTGGAGATTATTAGTAAGTGGAGTGATTTTGGCATGTTTATGCAATTGACAGAAAATATCTAAACTGAAAAAATAAGTTTATGGAACTACCATAAGGCCAACAATGTTGTACTGGATAGAATAATGGACAACTAAGAAACAACACATTAATAAAATGTGTGTAGTTGGATTTTGAGGTGGATGTGTTGTAATACATCAGAAGACAGAATTAGAAATGAATACATTTGAGAAATGGTAGGAGTAGACCAGTTGAAGATACGTTGAAAGAGAACATACTAAAATGGTTTGGTCATATATAATAACGACTGGTAGATACAATGGTAAGGAAGAGTGATATGATCAATGTTTATGGAAATGCTAGGGGGTGGGGAGTTGTTAAATTGACATGAAATATTGAAGTGAAATAAAAAAGGACAATTACAGAAAAAACCCCCCCCAAAATTTGAGCCTCGTAACAAAATAAACCCGGAGTTAAATGTTGTCAATTTCAATTGTAATCTTTTGAATTGTTTTCAATTTAAACTATCCGCTTATTTTTGTTAAGTGAAATTGATGGAAAAATGGGTGTTTTAGTCATTAAACTCAATGTTGGTGTAAGCAAAAGTAAAAAGTTGTCTAAAATATCATTTTTCATTGAGTTTAGTGACTTAAAATACCATTTTTCCATCAATTTTACTTAACAAAAATAGGATGGTTTAGATTGGAAACAAATCAAAAGGTTAGTGTTTAAATTGAAAAAATTAAGAACTTGGGGTTTATTTTGTTACTAGGCTCAAATTCTGTTTTGATTCATGTAACCTACCTGAATTGATTGGGACACAAGGCTTGGTTTTGTTTCTGTTGACTACATCACATCACATTTCATAGAGTTTTATTTTGGATGCATTTGATCATGTTATCTTGTTTACTTATCAGTTTGAAATTATGATATGTACTCTCTGTATTTTAGGGAACTTAGATGGGTCATTTTTGTGTCAAATTTCTCTCATTGTTATAGGTTTTACAAGAAGTTTTGCAGTGCTATTCCATCCCAGATAATCTGTTTGGCAAGGTTTGCATCATTATAGACAAGGTCAGTCAGTTGTATGATCTGTCCAGTTCTGGAATGCTGCCACTTCTCTTCCAGTTACTCTTTTGATATAGCTGCTTATATACTTGTGAAGCTCTCGTCTAGTAGTTTTATACAAACTGTATAAAGGAATCCATATGCTACTATAATTTTAATTTATAATATTGTGAACCTTTTTAAGGTTAACTTGTTTCAAAGCATATGTGTCATCTTACGAGTGATACTAGGCTGGGTATGAGACATTTTCCTGAAAAGCTGCTTCCTGACCACATGGATTAATTTAAAGGATAGCACTAGAAAATCTAACAAACAGTTGTCTACTCTTAGGTTCATGGTCGGTGTTAAGAGCTTGTTGACATCAGTATTATAATAACAACTGCTAAATTAATCTGATAGTGATGAACATATCTAGATCTATCATCCTTTTAGATGTTGCTTGGCTTGGGGGGAAGGTTGTTTATCTATTACCTCTCCTAGACGCCGTTGTATGCATGCCAACTAAGAGCACTCATGTCCTGCATTAACCCATCAACTGCATGCACCTAGATTTTTCTTGTTCCATCGAGAGTTATTCATAGATATTTCCTGCTCTAACGAGAGTCTCCCTACAAGCCCATCAACATCATTTCAACCAAGAGAGTCTGCCCATAGATTGTTAGCCATTGGCTTTGATACCACTTGTTGGAAAATTTAGAGAGCCTGTGAACGTGCAACAACACTGGCCCAATTCGTCATAGAGAAAACACCAAGGTCCAACATATATTGTTTTTTTTTTAGTAGTTAAGCTATAAAATAAAACAGTAAAATATATAAGATTATAAGTGGAATACCCCAGGCCCTACTAAAAAGCTAACAAGAAACAAAAAAGGACGCGAACACTAAATTGGAAAGAAACTATAAAGGAAAACAAACAAAGCCCCTAACTAGGAGAGCAAACTACAAAACCTAGAGACAAAATATCTGCAACATCAGCAGCAGCAAGATAAGGACAGCAGCAGCAGGAGCTGGAGAAATCAAAGAGCAACAGCAGCAGCAGCAGCATCCAACAACCTGCTCGAAACGTTAAGAAACAACATCAACCTGCTCTAAAGCTCAAGAGCAATCGCAGAAGTAGCCAACAAGCTGCCCTCAGCAACAAAGACGAACAAAAACAAATTAAAAACAGCTATCCTCCCTCATCTTGTTCAAAAACCACACATAGAAGAACTATGGGGCCTTGCCTAAACAAAGAGAAACAACATGCACAGCCCACATGGGTAAGCAAGGTAAGACGAAAAAAGGATATGACCAGCAGCATTTACATACAAAGAGTAGCAAAACATGATCATTAAATAAACTAAAAGAAGAGGACTCTATAAAACAGCTCTTCAGAATCCAATCCTGCTAAGTATGACCAGCAGTATTCAAAGGGGTCTAGGCAGGCACCAACATCCATCTTCTTTAGCAAAATTAGAGATACACAAAATCCTGTACACATCCAGCTGGCCCAAACTTCCACAGAGCTAGAGTAACCTGCATGCACAATGGTGGAACAAGCTCAAACCTCTAAGGGAACAGAAGTATGGTATAGAACACACACAACACAATACATATCTGGCTCACCATACTCAACCCACACACTGGAATATGCACTCAAGAAAATAATTTAGGGCTAAATTCACTCATCCCTCAACAAAGGAACTCCCTCACTCAAATGTACCCACTAGACAAATCTGCAAAGCAAACAATTAGAGATAATGATTTTGTACTCACAACACTCAACCCACATATGAGGAGCTCACCCACTCAACCCTCAAGAAGATAAGCACCAATGGACCTAACATATATAAGCTTACATCACTCAACCCTCAACATCCCTAACAAAGTACCAGCTGGACAACCTGCACAGTAAATCATTAGGGGAAATAAGGGCCACAGCTCCCACCAAAGGACACCCACTGCCCAAGGAGATCTGCAAGAGAATGCTGAACTAAAACAAACCAAATCATCTTTAGGAACACTGTACAAACAATGCATAAACAGGAATAGACATCATTGTGCTATAGGCAACTTCTACACTGTGGAGGGGAGCTTCCACTTGCTAATAAACCACTCATTAGCTCTTTCCTCTCTAAAGTTACACACAGAGAGGATCCTAAGCCTAATAAGATTCTCAATTCTTTTCTGAACAACATTTTCAGGAGAGATTACAGATTGAAAGATTCTGAAGTTGCTCTCCTGCCAGATACAGTAGACAGAACGAGTAAAAACCATCTTTTTGATAGTGGCAGCCTATGAAGCATGGGTACTTCGAAAAATATGCCGTACCCGTACTGGATACTTACCGGCGTACCGTACCTCGTATGGTACTTCTGCATACGTACCGGGTACACGAAACACCCAAGTTTTTTCTTCTTAATTTTTAACGTACCCAGACGTACCTAGTATATATCCAAGCCGTACCGTACCTCAGTTGAAACAATATATTCCTTCTACTACAGAGATAAAACTCATTTCACTAGATTTCTTTTTCAGTTTTTGTTTTATACTTACCATGATTTTAAAATTAAACTATGGTTTGTTAGTTGTTTAATATATTGATGTTTAATTTTAATTTATACTTTTCCTTTTGGCATTAAATGTTAATTATAGGTTGGACCTTAACAAATTAAACCATTTAATTATTTTTTGCATTACTCTAAATTAAAAATAAATATTTTTTTACAAGCGTACCAAGCCGTACCCGTACCCTATTTTTTTGAATTTTACCAGTATCGACGTACCCGTATCGTACCAGTACCAGTACTCGTACCCGTACCTGTGCTTCATAGGTGGCAGCCATGGATTTACCAGAAATATGCCTGGTCAGCCAATCCACAAAGCTAAGCCAGGGCAGGGAAGACCAACTAACATTGCAGTTAGCTTGCATAGATCCCCAGATGCTGCAGGAAAAGGGTCACCTAAAGAACAGGTGATCATGATCTTCATCCTGGGAGTGACACAAGGCACATTGGACAGAACTCCTAATCCCATACAAAACCAACCTATTTAAAGTACTAAGTCTGCCATGAATAGCCATCCATACAGCAGTACTCACCCTAGGAACATGAAACTTGAACCAAATCAGCTTATTCCAAGACACATTGGGCATATGAAGTCTCAACAAGTCCCAAGCAGAGTGAATGGAGAATGCCCCATCAGGTGAGGGGAGCTGACTGGGCTCATCATCCCTAACAGAGGGGGTCATCTCACTAGGAATGGTGTTCTTAACTTCTATTAACTCCCAAGATTGGGAAACAGGTCAATTCCAGCAGTTGCCTCTAATGATGCTATCAATTTTCAATTGGGCTTGAAGGTCAAAGTCATACACAATCCTATCACCACATTTGAAGTGCAGAGGGCCAAGAAGGTGCCACTTATCATACCACAAAAAGGTATTCCTCCCATTCCCAACTTTCATTTTGATATTATGAATCAAGCTAGACCTAAGACGCTAGACCTAAGACCTAGGATTTTCCTCAAATCCAAGAAGGGTCAGTAAGCACGTTAACACTTTAGAAACTCCTTCCTTTAAGAATGTAGGTCTTAATTCACTGACTACTCACCCCTAGAAACTAGAAACCAAATATGTTTGGAGATAGCAGCTTTATTCCGTATTCTTAGGGACTTAAAGCCTAAACCCCCCCTCATTTCCAGGCACACAAAGATGAACCCAAGCCACCTTGGCCCCTTATTCAGCTTAGGGCCAGACCAAAAGAAAGACCTAAGGGGAGATTCAATATCTCTGATGACTTTCTTATGAAGGATAAAGACGGATGGCCAACAAACTTGCATAGAGAAGAGAATGGACCCTACCAGTATAGGAGAGATTCCTATTGGTCCAAAGTTTGATTCTCTTTGTAATCCTATTAGTAAGCTGTTGACAATCAACATACTTCAGTTTAGTGGGCATGAGAGGCACACCTAGATATCTAACATGGAGCTAATCCTCACTAAATCCATGGTATCCAATAGGATAGTCTTTAGGGAAGGATCCACCCTAGAAAAGAACATGTGGCTTTTACCAAGGCTTGGAGTAAGCCCAAATAAGGCTTGGAACTCAACCAAAGCATCTTTAATAAGTCTTAACAGTGGCTCTATAGCCTTGTTTGGTAGGGCTTATTTCTAGCTTATTTCAGCTTTTAGCTTAATTTAAGCTATTTTGATGTGTTTGGTCCAGTTTAACAATACAACTTATAGCTTTTTGTAAGTCAAAAATCAACTTATTCTTTGAGTGGGGGAGGAGAAGCTTAATTTATAAGTCAAAAATCAGCTTATGTTCACAGCTATAAGCTATAAGCTGTTAGGCTATAAGTTATAATCACTTTTCCACAGCTCTACCAAACAGGGCCTATACCCCTTATAAAAAATCATCAGGTCATCAACGAAATAGAGGTAACAATTTTTTTCTTCTCACATCTCCAATGAAACTTTAACGGAGGAGTATTAGCCTGCAGCCTATACTAGATTTCCATAACTATGACAAATAGATAAGGGGAAAGGAGATCTTCCTGTCTTAAACCTCTAGCACCCTTAAAATACCCACAAAATTCCCTATTAATGCAAAAGGGTTGGTAACACTAGCCTTAATTCATTGGGTCATATTAGGGGGAAAGGCGATAGTAGTCAAAACATCAAACAAAAAGTCTCACGTAACAGTATCATAGGCTTTCGTGATATCCACTTTCATAGCACACCTAGGGGACTTAGAAGCTCTGTGGTAACCTCGCATGAGCTCTTCAGAGAGAAAGATGTTGTTAGAGATTCTCCTCCCATGGACAAAAGCATATTGGACAAGATCAATAAGACCAGGAAGCACAACTTTGATCCTGTTAGCTACGATCTTAGCAATGCACTTGTACAGAGAATTACAACAAGGGACATATCTATAATTCCCCACTTTACTAGGATTGGGCACTTTAGGCACCAGAGCAATCAGGGTACTATTCACCTCCCTAATAACTCTCCAGAACTAAAGAAAGATTTAATGGCACCTATGACATCTCTACCCGCCACATCCCAAGAACTCTTAAAGAAACTAGCAGAGAGACCATCGGGGCCAGGGGCTTTGTTACTGTTCAAAGATTTAAAGACAGTCAATTTCTATATCAGTAACATCCTCAAGTAGAGATTTGAGATTCATCAAGCAATTGAAAAGCCCAGCCCACACTTCTTCTTAAAAACTAGGTATTAAGGAGAGAGAAACTGAAACCTTAAAACCAATACAGATAGGGCAACTCCAAGCGATGTGGGACACATTCCAACACATCCTCCTGGACCACAACATACAATAGCCAGACAAATGGCACACCAGTCACAGGCTCAACCAAACTCTGATACCGAATTGAAAAGCCCAACCCACACTTTTCCTTAAAACCGAGGTATTAAGAAGAGAGAAACTGGAGCCTTATAACTAGCATAGATGGGAAAACTTCAACTGATGTGGGACACATTCCAACACAAGCTTCCATCTAATCAATTCCTGAATTCTATCTAGACCCTAGTAGTTATCATTAAAAGGCTTGCCTAGCAACACAAGTTCTCATAAGCATTGACAAAAGAGGATTTGATATCCTTAATTTTGGTGACCTGGGTACCATCCTCCAAAACAACACAATTAATCCTACTTCTATTTCTGTTATTAGAGATGGACCTAAAGAAATACCTACTGAATTTAGCCATTGAACCCTGGACTTCTGAGAGGCATAGCTCTCCTCAGCCTTCTAGAGGATTCTTGTCCAGCATGACCTGTCTACTATTAAGATCTGCTCTAGCACATCTAACTCTGACAGAGAGCTCACTAAACTCCTTCCTGTTAAGGATTTTAAAGACTGGCTGTAAAGATCTCAGCTTACTACACACCCTAAACATAGGAGAGCCCCTAACATATTGACACCAAACACCCTTATCCAAAGGCAAAAGAGCCAGGATTAAGGCTTCCTAGTATTCTTCTCTAATAGGAGTCCACTTAGAGTCTCCTCCCAACTTCTCACAAGGAGACCTAATAGCATTGAAATCCCCCATAAAATGCAGGGGGAACTCTGAAACTGGCTGGCCAAGTCCTCCAATTTATTCAAAAGAGGTTTTCTAAGAACACAAGTATTATGAGCATAAATGAAAGAAGCAAAAACTGGATATCCCCATCATAAACATGGATTTTACAAAATATATATTGGTAAGATTGGTCAACAATAGCTACCTTACAAAAAGTTGGGTTCCAACACATCCAGATTCTACCAAGACTGGCATGAGCATAATTATTAATACTATCCCAATTTTTAAACATATGTTTCACAATATACTCATGCTTACCTGACATCACTTTGGTTTCCAAAAGACCCGCAACATGGGCACCCTCAAGTTCTCTTTGTTTGAGAGGATCATTAAAACCTCCAACATTCCAAGAACAAATTTTAATAGGCATAATTATGAACAAAATGACACAAAAATGGGGGATTCACGGCTAAGAACTTACCTCTTCTTCTTCCTGCGGCTGCTAGAAGACCCAGCAGCTTTCCCAGCAGCAGGAGGTGGAGTCATAGCCTTTTGAACATTTGGCTGACCAGTTTGAGTAGTCTCCATAGATAGTAAGTGTTACTCCTTCCCATCTTCTAGAACAGGTACCTTGTTTGTTGAGTCTTGTTGGTCAGTAGCTGCAGATGATAGCTACCTCAGGGTCCCTCATCACAGGCAAGTCACCTACTTCTTGCACTACAGGGGTAGCAGCTGCCTCCTTCCAATTTCCAGATGCTGCCATAGGATTTCCCTCTCCCACTTTTTTTTTATTTCCCTCCAGCAATGCTCATTCTCCACTCCTCATCTGTCCTTTTCCAGATTCTGCTGATTGTTAAGTTGGGTTAAGCCAGCTACCTGCTTGGCTACACACTCAATATGCCAGAAACCTTGCAATGAGTGCCCTTGCCAGGAGTCCACAGATACTCCACTCTAATTTTTACTATCTCATCCTCACATTTGAGTAGGAAATCATTAGGAAGGGGGGATTCCCCTGTAATTTCGACAAAAAATTTTGCACGAGATTCTATTGCCCTGTGCAGTTAGTTTATCCATGTAGAGGGGCTCACCCATGACACAAGCAATTCTACTCAGTCCCTCTTCATCCCATAATTCCATAGGGATATTAAACAATTTAATCCAAATTGGAATTTTATTCAACTATTCCTTGGTTAGCTTTATCATTTTATGCCACTGTTTGAGAATCAGATAATCCTAACCAAAGAACCATGGACCATCCTCTAATATACTGTAACTATTCTAAGTAGAGTCAAACAGGAAAAAGACGAGCCATTGTTAGTAGAGATTACCTCCCTCAACCCTTTTCCCCTCCATAGATTGAATGCATAAGTCTTCATATAGTTGAAATTTAGGTTTCTATCTAGGAAATGGCCTACAAGGCATGCCTCCCACTTGTCAATGTTCTCTCTAGGGGGCATTTCAGGAACTAAATCAGCCTTAAAATTTGGAAGGAAATACCTCAGCTTCATTGATGATTTCTTATTAGAAGCCACTACTAATGCCCGGTTCTTCTTCACTGGCTATTCTTTGTTTGGCCCGGATTTCTCCCTCAAGAGCTAGAGCCTTCTCCCCAACATATATTGTTTGGCACTCATATCCACTTAAAAGCTTAAGTCTGTAAGTGTAGAGCCATACAATGTATATTAAGACTCACTCCTTATACTCTTTATCCAATGTGGGACTTTACCTTCACACATGCTCCAACAATTTTCTCTTCATGTGTGGACCAAACATTAGGCCTCACCTTGCTTGAATAAATAAATAAATATAAATAACATAAAATTTCAAAATAAATAAGGTCTCCATGTCGACTTAAACCAAGCACGTCCTGCATCACGGATCTGTGACATGGTTGCTCTTAATAGAGTATGGTGGCTCATAATGGAGTGCATACTGGTGGCCTAGGTCGGACATAGTGTTGGATAATAATAGATCAGAGTTTAAAGGGAGTGAGAAAGATCTATAATGAACATGCGGATGATAGATCAGACTCGAGGGGGAGCAAGAGCAAGAGCAAGGCGAGACCCAATGTTTGGTTCATACATGAAAGGAGATTGCTAGAGCATGTGTGGAGGTAGAGTCCCACATCAGATGAAAAGTAAAAAAGAGTGAGTCATTATATAATTTGGATGGGCTCTCTACTTACAAGCATAAGCTTTTAAATGGTTATAAGTTCCAAGCAATGTATGTTGGGCCTTGATGTTCCACATGTGGACTTTGGACTTTCTCCCCAATGGATTAGACCAGTGTTGCACCTCACGACCTCCTGAATGTCCCAACAAGTGGTATTTGAGCCAATCCTCTTTCCCCTTTATAGTCTCTCTCGACTTTGTTATAGTCCATCACGAGACTTTAGAACTTGTTCGTCCCTCGCTAATGCACCACAATAACAAGAAACCTCCTTCATCATTGTGACCTTCGATGCCGACTAGTCTAAACCAAGATGATGATGGAAGTAATGGCAGAGCAAACCTCTATCGTAACCTCTTCATGTCTTAGTCATGGTCCTCGTCTACAACTATCCGAGTTGCTTCGTTTTGATG